TACCATCCCTTCCTTATTATTTTTCACAAATCCAGGAGGTCGTGACACGCAAACTTCTTCCTGTAATGGACCGTTCAGAAATGCAGACTTCACATCCAGATGCATCAAAAGCCAATTTCTATTTGCAGCTAAAGCAATCACCAATCTGATTGTTTCATGCCTAGCTACAGGTGCAAACACCTCAAAGTAATCTAGCTCAGGTTTCTGAAGAAAGCCTCTAGCTACTAGTCTAGCTTTTTGCTTTCCAATTGAACCATCTGACTTAAGCTTTAACTTAAAAACCCATCGGACACTGATGGCTTTTTTCTTATGTGAAAGCTTAGTCAATTTCCACGTTTTGTTCCTTTCTACTGCCTCAAGTTCTTCTTTCATGACATTCAGCCATTCTTTCTTCTTGAGAGCTTCTTCAATGCCCACTGGTTCAGAATCTACTAACATGGAATATTGAACGACTTCTCCTTCAGAATCCACTTCATTATCCTGCAACATGTCAAAATCTGCAAACCTTCTTGTTTTTTGTCTGATTCTCTGTGGTCTTTGAGCTTATTCTGAAACTGCACCAGAACTACTAGCTTCAGAGTTACCACCTTCAGAGTTTTCTCTTTCAGAATTATGATCACCATCAGATTCTAGATCATCATCAGCATCTGGATCAGAATCAGATCCACAGTCAGAATCTCCTTCTGACTCATCTTCAGAATCAGATTCATCTTCTGATTCTGACTTATCTTCAGAACTTTCTAAAACATCTTCAGAAGTTAACTCTGGTGTTGGCATTACACCAGAATTCGATTGAGACTTGTTCCAATCCCATACTTCAGACTCTTTCACCACAACGTCTCTGCTGATTTCAACTTTATTAGTTTCTAGATAATAAAGCTTATACGCACCAGTACTGTGGTACCCCACCAACAACATTACTTTGCTTCTATCATCCAGTTCTTATCTTCTAGCTTCTAGAACGTGTTTGTAACAGACAGAGCCAAATACCTTCAGATGTCTGACACTCTGCTTATCTCCAATCCATTTTTCTAAAGGAACAACTTCCTTCAGCTTCTTCGTTGGGCACCTGGTCAGAATATATGTTGATGTGACAACAACTTATCCCCATAACACGTGAGGTAGCTTTTTTTTCTTTCAGCATGCTTCTGGTCATATCAAACAAAGTTTTATTTCTTCTTTCAGCAAGACCATTGTGCTGAGGAGTATATGGAGCAGTAACCTCATGTTCTATTCCATTCTCCTCATGGAACTTTTGGAACTCTGTAGAGTTATACTCACCTCCACTATCCGTTCTCAGAATCTTTAACTTCTGACCACTTTGCTTCTCAGTCTTCACTTTGAACTTCTGGAACTCAGTAAACACTTCATGCTTGAACTTGATGAGTGTTACCCATGTAATTCTTGTGAACTCATCCATAAAAGACACAAAATATTTGTTTCCTCCAAGTGAAGGTACTGGAAATGGTCCGCACACATTAGAATGTACTACTCCCAGAGCATGCTTCACTCTGGGGGCTACTTCTGATGCAAATGGAAATCTGGGTTGTTTGCCTTTCATGCATATTTCACATGACATCTCAGGATTCACAATCTTCAAAATACCATGTACAAGCTTCTTAGAACATAGATGCCCTAAGCTTCTATAGTTCAAATGCCCCAACCTCTTATGACACAGCTTATTGTCACCTTCAGCGTCTTCTACACTAAGACACGTTGCTTTAGTTGTTTCTTAATTCACCTTGAATGTTCTGTTGCTTCCTTGTTCAGACTTCATAATCAACTTTTGATTGGAATCATACAACGTCAAGAGATTGTTTTTCAGAACAACTAAGAAACTTTTCTCAATCAGCTGACTCACGGTCATCAGATTGCTTCTAATGCCAAGAACATACCAAACGTCTTTGATCAGAATGTTTTTTCCATTCTTCACTCTAACTCTGACATCTCCCATACCTTCTGCATTAAGATACTTATCGTCAGCACATCTGATTTTTGTTCTCCTTCTGGAGTCAAAGTCTTTCAGCCATTGTTTGTTTCCAGTTAAGTGATTTGAATAGCCAGTGTCCATATACCACCAATCTTCTGAGCATTTTTCATCAGAATCAGAAGCCATTAGTAGCACAGGTTCATCAATAGAGTTTCCCTTAGCCATATACGCTTCTTTTGATTTCCTTTCCTTGTTTGACCTACAATCTCTGGAAAAATGGCCAAATTGTTTACAAGAGTAACATTGAACCTTCTTTTTGTCATACATCTCCTTTCCTTTATGATATCTCTTATCATCAGAAGTTCAGGTTTCTGACTTTTGGAATTTATCACCACGTATATTCTGCTTCTGGTCTTTCTTGACGAAGGAAGCCTTCAGAGCTTGCTCAACTTCCCTCTCAAAAGTTCTCACAGTCATACGTAACTCTTGTGCTTCTAAACTGCTTTGAAAGCTTCTAAACTGCTTTGCAATTCTTCTATTCTCATGGTTTCCAGATTTTTAGAGTGTTCAATAGAAACAACAATGTAATCAAACTAAGGAGTAAGCGATCTCAGAATCTTCTCTATGATTATCTGTTCAGGAAGAGTTTCTCCACACGCATTCATCTCGTTAGTGATCAGGATCACTCTGGAGATATATTCAGAAACTTTCTCATTGTTCTTCATGTTCAAGTTCTCATATTGCTTTCGCAGGGATTGAAGCTTCACCTTCTTTACTGATGTGTCACCACCGTAACATCTCACCAGTAAATCCCACGTCCCTTTTGACGTTGTCAAATCAGCAATCTTCTCGAACACACTTTCATCCACACACTGATGGATATAGAACAGAGCTTTCTGGTTCCTCTTCCTCATAACCTTCTCAGCAGTTTTCTGTTCTTCAGTTGCATCTGCTGCAGCTGGTACATAACCATCTATAACCAGATCCAGAATATCTCGCGCACCAAACAACACACGCATTTGTAGCATCCATTTGTTCCAGTTTTTGCCATTAAAAACTGGGAGTTTGGTGTTCAAACTACTGGCTCCACTCATCTTTAACCTTACACAAATTTTCAGATCTACAAACACACTGTTTCCCAACTCACAGAATCAGATTTTGTTCAGATTTGTTCAAGATTTCAACAAAAATCAATGAAGCAAAACTAAACACACAACTCACAATCACTCGTGTTTCTCAGAAAAAACAGAACCAAGTGCTCTGATACCAATTTGTTGGTGCAAGGTAATGAAGTGGGAGAAGAAGAATAAACACAAATGATAACAAGAAGACTACTGTTGTATATCAAAATAGAGGAGATAAAGTAGGGTACAATATTGATAGTTTAGAATAGCACATTTATACTAAATATTGAAAATGCCAAAAGACCCTATTAAAAAATAAGTATTGAAAATTGTAGAAATTAACTAAATTATCTTTCTAATAAGGAAATCAGCTTAATTTGGATACCTTACCATGTAAATCGTTTTGCTTGTGCTGATGTAATTTGTCCAGCGACAATTCCAAATATGGTTATAATGCTGCCACCGACAAATATGAAGATTTAATGGCTCCAGGATTTACCATGTTGGCATGAAGAAGAAACGTGTCGATGAGTTTCCCTTATGTGTTCATCTTGTCAGTTGTGTTATAACAATCATCTTGTCAATTGTCAGCCTTGCCTGCTGGATGCATACCAGGTACTTTACAATAAACTTATCTGTCTCTTCCCCACTGATAAAACATGACTTGAAAGTTATGCTTTTGGCCATCTGTCACATACATAGCACATGAAGTTAAATCTTTTTTATATTACCTAAACTGATCTGTTAGAAGTAGAACACTCTCACAAGTTCTCAGATGATGCTACTGGAGATTCAATACGCAGTACTAAACTATAAAAACACTCCTAATATATATGATGTAACAAAATAAGGTGCATGTGCAGATCTGCTGCTAAATTAACGTGGGAAAGATTCTTTCTGCATTCTGTATTAATAGGCTGAATATTTAACACCAACTTGCATTTGACTTGGTATTTGTTTGGTTAGCTTAGATGCTATACTATTTTCATCTGTGCCTATATATCCTGGTTAATGGATGATTTTTTTATTTGTTTATCTCGCATGTGTGTATGTTTTTATGCATGTATCAATTATATAATATTGTGTTATGGATATAATATACATATCCTATGTAATTAATTTGTTCTTTTGTCTTCTGAGTTCAGCGGATCCTAAGGGAATAGAACTCACAATCCATGACTGTTGCGAAGACAGGCAGATTACTCCATTTAGGATATATTTTGGTGAACATGAAGGAGTTAGGGAATATATTTAGTACAGGAAAAAGATTAAGCTTGAAGGATCTACACTACTAAATATATCTAATGCTTCTTATGGATTTGAATTTGATTTCTTGATCATAACATGTTCAAGCAATAATAAAGGGTGATCTTTGAAAACTTAAAGTACACTTTAATGCAATTTTTATTTTTATTTTTTAATTGTATTTTTAATTAATATTGTTAATTTATTGTTTTATCACTTTACATTAAAGTTAATTTGAATGTTTTATTAGTAAAATCATTCTTCTCTATTTTATTTTTTAATAATTTATATGAAATAATTAAAAATAATATTTATTGAGACTAAGACCAGCTCCAATGTTGGGTTCTTATGTTAAGTTTTCCACCTGGCAGCATTAAAGTTAAATAAAGTAGCTGCAAGAGTTTTCCAAGTGGAGAACGTATTACGTTGAAGCAACGGTTCTTATATTAAAAAAATAATATAAATTAACTAGCCGTTGCATAACGGTTCATTTTTTTTTGTTTTTATTTTATTTTAATAATTTATTTCTTTATAAATATGATAAAGTGATAAGTTGTATACTCAAATTTGCTCTCATAATTTTATTTCTTTCTCTCAATTTGTTCTCATAATTTTGTTTATTTCTCACAATTTACTCTCATAATTTTATTTCTTTCTCACAATATCATCTTCCTACTTTAAATTAAAATTGTTTAGGCCAAATGGATCCTAATCATTTTCATTATCAACAAGCTATGTTCAATTACATGTCAAATTATCAAAATCTTAATCCTCAAAATTCTCAATTTCCATCTGTGCCAACAAACCCCGCCATATTTTTTCCGGAAACACCGATTGGGTTTATGTCCGGATGTCAAGTTCCACCAGTTTCTACTCAAGTTGGTACTGAAAAAGAAGAAAGGGTTGTCGTTAAAAAAAAAATCTCGAGAGCAATTTACAAGGGATGAAGATATACTGCTTATCCAATCATGGCTCAATGTTTCAAAGGATCCAATTGTGGGAGTTGATCAAAAAGCTGAGAGTTTTTGGTTAAGAATCGCTGCCAATTATAACCAGTATTGTGGGCAATTGCGGGAAAAGTTAGGCGGGCAATTAAAATGTCGATGGCATCGAATAAATGGCTTGGTTCAAAAATTTGTTGAGTGTTACAAACAAGCTGTTAATGGAAAAAAAAGTGGGACATCGGAGAACGATATCATGGTTGATGCACATGCTTTTTTTGCTCAGGATGAAGGTACAACATTCAATCTTGAGTATGTATGGCGATTGTTAAAAGATGAACCTAAATGGATGGGAGAATCGATTGGAAATTCTTCAAAAATTACAAAGAGCTCTGCTAGTGGGGCATCATCGGATAACCCAAATACACCTTCAAGTTATGAGTTTAACTCATCATCACCAATGGAGCGTCCAATGGGACAAAAAGCAGCAAAAAGGAAGGGTAAGGCAAAGGAAATTCCAAATGCAATGCAAGATGCAAGGATTAAAAGAGCAGCAGCAATGGAAAGACTAGCTCAATGTAAGGAGGACGAGCTAGAACTAAAGGCAATGAATATCATCATGAAAGACACTTCTACTATGAATGATAATCAACGAGATATTCATGAAAAATATTGTAATAAGATGGAAAAAATGGAATGTAGTTAGTATCATTGACGTAAAATGGTCATTAGTACCACTTTAATTTATCAACACCTATGTAAAATGGTCATTAGTACCACTTTAATTTATCAACACCTATGTAAAATGGTCATTAGTACCACTTTAATTTATCAACACCTATGTAAAATGGTCATTAGTACCACTTTAAATTATAATAAATATTATGTTATTCAAACTAGCCGTTATTCAAACTAGCCGTTATTCAAACTATCCTTTATTCAAACTAGCCGTTATTCAAACTATCCTTTATTCAAACTAGCCGTTATTCAAACTAGCCGTTATTCAAACTATCATTTATTCAAACTAGCCGTTATTCAAACTAGTCGTTATTCAAACTAGCCGTTATTCAAACCATTATATATACTATCACTTATGTCATTGTTTTCCCATTCTCATCTTATTCTTCTATCATACTTCTCTAATTCTTCTCTCATTTTTCTATCATTCTTAATTCACTAAAATGGATTCAGACAATTCAGATGATTTTGACCAAGAATTTTGGGAGTTGATTGAAGAAGAATTTATCGACGATAGTGATGAAGAACAATTGCTTGAAAATGAACGTCAATCTGGAAGTTCATCTATGCCAAAGAGAAGAACAATGGTAGATCGTAGTCGTGAAGAAGGGCACAATCGATTATTCAATGACTACTTCTCGGAAAACCCAGTATACACAGATGTTCAATTCCGAAGAAGGTTCAGAATGCATAGGCATGTATTTCTTCGAATTGTAGATGCCCTTGGAAATCATGATGAATATTTCCAAATGAGGGTTGATGCAACTGGTAAAATGGGTCTTTCACCATTGCAGAAATGTACATCTGTTATTCGTATGTTGGCGTATGGGTCTCCTGCTGACGTTGTAGACGAATATGTTCGAATAGGTGAAAGTACTTCAATTGAGTGCTTACAAAGATTCGTTCGGGCGTGAATGCTGTATTTGGGGCTGAGTATTTGAGAAAGCCTAACAACACTGATGTTGAACATCTTTTACAAATGGGAGAGTCACGTGGCTTTCCAGGTATGTTGGATTCCATTGATTGTATGTATTGGGAGTGGAAAAATTATCCTGTTGCATGGAAAGGACAATTTTATCGAGGTGATCATGGAAAGCCCACAATCATGCTTGAAGCAGTGGCATCACAGGACTTATGGATTTGGCATGCTTTTTTTGGTATTGCTGGTTCAAACAATGACATTAATGTGTTAAACCAATCCAACGTGTTTAACGATATTTTGGAAGGACATGCTCCCAATGTGCAATATACAATCAATGGAACACCATATAATATGGGGTATTATTTAGCCAATTGTATATATCATGAGTGGGCTACATTTGTGAAGACCATTTCAATGCCACAAGGAGAGAAGAAAAAATTATTTGCTCAACATCAAGAATCAGCTAGAAAAGATGTGGAGAGGGCATTTGGAGTGCTTCAATCTCGATTTGCAATTATACGTGGCCCAGCGCGTGCCTGGCACATGGACACCCTCAAACATACCATATATGCGTGCATCATATTGCACAACATGATTGTTGAAGATGAACGACATACATATGGAGGTAATTTTGATTACTCTTATGATAATGTGGATAACAATCACTCAACAACTGAAACATTTAGCGGTCCTCATCCGAATCTTGCAACAAGACTACAAAGAAGAGCAAATATTCGTGAAAAACAAGTTCATCGTCAACTTCAAGGAGATCTAGTCGAGTATATTTGGGAACGTTTTGGACATGAAGATGATGAAATTTAAGTTTGATTAATTTATGTGATGTTATTTATTTTTATTGTTTTTAATTATATGTAATGTATTTGAAATTAATTTTAATTATCATTTTAAATTATAAGTTTAATTTGAATTTTATTTATTTTATATAAATTTTAATTTAAATAATTAAAATTATTATTTTAAATGATATAGAATTTAATATGAATAAAATATTAATATATAAAGTAAAGTTGTGGGACCCATTATGAGTTCTTTAGAGTTGAACCATTGAAGTGAAAAACTAGTTGGGTTGCTTCAAGCTGACGTGGGTTAATAGATCACGCAAAAAATCCAAAATTGAGTTGCACCATTGGAGATGCTCTAAGGAGTATACCAGGGCACTGCGGTAGTTGGAGGCAGATATGACATCATCTTTTCAATATTTATGATCACCTTTTTTGAATAACAAATGGCACAGATCCCTAGATGATGAACAATATCTTAAAAAAATGAAACAACCGTAATTTATATGGTGTAGCCTCATTACTTTTGTTGCAAAAATATAAAACAGTGAAAATAATAAATTAATTAAAAAAGCCATCATTAATTCTATATAAGGTATAGTGTCTTTTTAACTTTTAACTCAATAAAAGATACTAGAGCTTTAAGCTAGAGTTTTAAGTTTTTAGCAACTCTGTATTTTAAAAGTTATAAGTTTTGTAGCAAATTTTTAGATATTAAATTTAATGTAACTTTTATTTTTATGGATCAATATCACTATAATAGTTTTTTATTTATTTTAATCAATAAAATATTTATATATATATATTTACAGTTATTAGTAATATTTATAAATATTTATAATTATTAATTATATTTATAAATATTTAGAGTTATTAGACATATTAGATTTATTATATTGATAATTTTATAAATATTTTTTTAAATATTTTCAATTATTAGTGATTTTATAATAACATTTCCATATTATCAATAATCAAACTTTGTAAATGATGTAAGATATAAACGACTAATATATTTCTATATTTTTTTTATATAGTTACTATATATATCTATATTATATTTTTGAGAATCTTAAATTAACATTCTTCATTCAAATTTTTTAAATTTTTTTTGTAATACATTGATTTAATTTAGACGTATGAATCTTTTAATAGTTAAAGTTGAAAAACATATAAATAATCAACAAAAGCATGAATTTGATATTTAACAATTAAAAGTGTTACTAAATATTTTAAAGAGTTATACTCTTACCATATCCTGAACAATGTTTTCAATTTAAACAAAAGTTATACTCTAACAAATTTAATAAAAATTATAAAATATTTATAAATAAAAAATTATAAGAAACTAATTAATTAAATGAACCGTAAAGTTTCTTCATCGCTACTTTGGATTAATAATAATAAATTAAATGAACTTAAATGATAAAAAAATGAATTTATATACCTAAACTAAATTATATAACTGTTAAAAATATTAAAAAATATAAGTAAATATTGAATATGAACACCGATACAGAATACAGATGGAGTGAGATATGCGCAAGTAGCAGAAGTCTAAAGATTTAGGTAAGTCAAAAAGTTTAGGTGAGTGCTGAAAGATAGATTAAGAAATCTGAAATGAATTATCAAAGCCAGATTCTAGATATTTTTTATTCAAAAAGAGAAAAAGAAGAAGAAATAAAGTGAAAGAACCTGCAGACAAATAAGACCCAAAATAAACTAGGACCAACACTTTTTTAATGAACACATTGTATATTAACAGAATATAAGAACTATAAGAATTATTGTGTGGATAAATTGGTTACTTTAGATTTGACACATAAATTTTGTTAGCTGTTATTCTCAAGGAGATGAAGTGAGATTTATTTAATAATAATAATAATAATAATAATAATAATAATAATAATAATAATAATAATAATAATAATAATAATAATAATAATAATAATAATAATAATAATAATAATAATAACAATAATAATAATAATAATATTAATATTATAATAATAATTATAATATAAACTCAATTGTATTAAAAAAACTTATTGATGATAATAATAATATAAATTCAATTGTAAAATAAATAATAATAATAATATAAACTCAAGTGTAAAAATATTTTAATTTATTGGTAATTTAGAAAATATATATAATTATTTTGTCTACCTATATATTATAACTTTTTTAAAAAGATAAAAGAAAATATGTCTTCGTTTTATAAATATAGTGAAAAAATAACACACTTTAAAAAAATAAAATGAGTTAAATTTATCTATATTTAAATTTTTACATTTTTTAACTTAATTGTTTTATTTTTATTTATTTTTATGTGTTTTTTTTTATTTTTTATTTACAAGCTTGATAGATTTCAAAAATAAAAATAATTAATAATTATAAAAAATATAAAATATATGTTTGTACTCGACATATTCTTTTGTTTTATTTTATATTTTTTTATTTGTTTCTATGTTACGTTCATTTGTATTGTTCAAAAATAAATTAATAACTATACTCTAGAAAGCGCGATGGGGAAGCAGGGGAAGCTGGGGCGTCCGAAGGAAGCGGTGCCTCCGCCGCTTCCTACCAGTCCTAAATCTCCGTTTCCGCCGCTTGATTTTAAAATTCCGCGAGAAGTTGAACTGCCTCCTACAGAAACTACTAGTGGTCACAAGGATGTTGAAACGGTGTTGCAAAGTAAAGTGAAAGGTGATGATGTTGCGAAGAAGAGCGAAACTCTATCTACGGCGAACAAGAAGCTATGGGTTGGCGTTCTAAATGATAATAGGAATCCGTCTAAGGGGAGGGCCATGAGTTTTATTGCCCCTAAGATTGTTAATGGAGAAGTGAAAGTTCTGATAGCCAAAGAGGACATTCGCGCTGAGATTCAATTCTGGGAACCATCTATAGTTTTATATGTCTTAGGAGGGGAGCTAAGCATGAACGGAGTGAAGAATTTCATGGCATGAAATTGGAACTTTGTTCAGCTTCTGGATATTTACTATAATGAGAAGGGCTATTTCATTATGAGATTCAGCTCCTTCAGCGAAAGGGATGAGGTTCTTATGAGGGGACCTTATACGCTCCGGAGTATGCCTCTTCTTATCCATGAATGGCGCCTAGATTTTAACTTGAAGGATGATTTGCTGCGCACTCTTCCTCTATGGGTAAAGCTACCCCAGTTACCTATCTATCTTTGGGGAGATACCAGCCTTAACAAAATTGGTAGTGCAGTGGGTAACCCAA